TCTTACGACTCCGATTTTTTATTTTTACTAAAAATTCATAAGCGCCTTTGCGACTCCAGCTCCATCGCTAATGAAAACCAGCCTTTAGATGTACGGAACGTTGTAAATTAACGTTGAAATTTTGCACCAAAATTAAAGAGTGATTTGTCACCTATGATATTACAAACAAGGTAACTAATGGAGCATTTGTAATTTAGTCAAGACTACTCCTTCTGAGGTTGAACAATTGTAGCTAATTGTGCAGACACTGATGATGGTTCTTTGGTTTCAAATACCTCTATTTCATCCTCTGAAAAGTCTTTGAATATTTGTGAAAAAGAAACAAGTTGCAATGATTGTGGAGGAAATTAAAGCACAATTCATGGCAGTTTGGAAAAGTGTTCTCTCTGGGCCACGTCCACCCCAAGCGGTCACAAGAAACCAATGTGTCTTAAGATCACAGTTAAAATCAAGGGTCCGAATCAAGGGAGGCAGTTTCATTGTTGTCTCAGACTACAATTCCAGAGTTCCAACCCTGAGGCTCATTGAAAGTGGGTTGATTTTGCAGCTTGTGAGGATGTGCAGATATCATGGGGTGTTCTCCGACAAGGGCATGAAAGCTTTAAACTTTCCTTTTGAAGGAAGGGAGACCTCTTATTAACATGTTTGCAAGAAATCATTTGGAAACGCAAAAGTAATGAAAGAAGCATGAAATGAGCATTTTGAAAACAGTTTTTCCAGGTCAACTCAAAGGGGATTGCATGATTACATGTATTGTTCTAGATGTAATTCTAAGTATGTTCTTGGTTAAAAATTTTCAGATTGAGATCATAGAACCTAAATTTGTTTAATTTTCGTACTGATATTGAAAATATACAAAAATTCACCCTCTAATGTTCCACAACCTTTTTGGTGGAGGGAGGGGAAAGGGAGATTTTAAATCTGCTCTTTCGCGCACTCCTCCAAAAAGATTTCTTTATTATATGGGGGCAATGCACGCATGGAACAGGGCGCTTTCATGGTCTCCATCTCATGTTGCGTTCAACTATTGCCTTTTATACTGGTTCTACATGGTGGCAGCAAACCCTTGAAATGCCTGAAACCATCTTACTACCTCAAGAAGAACTGAAAGTGAAGAATGATCATCGCAGTAAATTTTCCAATTTAAGCAACTGGAAAGAAGAAGCCTGAAAAAAAATGTCAGGGCTTCAACGGGATTCGAACCCGTCACCTCCGCGTTACTGGTGCGTTGCTCTACCAACTGAGCTATGAAGCCACACATTGGGAGCGAGGTCAATTTATTGAGTTCATATCTCCCGTGAGGAGTGAAATGATGTGAAGTATAATTATGAAATAATTCATTTTTGAACTGCGGTTGTAGATGAAAGTGAAGAATGATCATCGCAGTAAATTTTCCAATTTAAGCAATTGGAAAGAAGAAGCCTGAAAGGCCTGATTTTTTTTCAGGCTTCTTCTCTTCAATTGCTTGAATTGGAAAATTTACTGCGATGATCATTCTTCACTTTCATCTACAACCGCTGTTCAAAAATGAATTATTTCATATATACTTCACATCAAGAAGAACTGCCCTCTGAAACTGATGAAAACTTACTTGTTTAGATTCATCTCGTCTAGTTTTAGAATTTACAACATAATAAAGAGTAAGCCCGCGCAAATGGACACAACATTGTTGGATGTTATCTGTTGTGTCCATTTGCACACCCTGTTGCATGTTGTTGCGTGTTGTTGGGAGTTCAGTTGCTCAAAGTTTGAAACCGGTCAAACTTTTAGCTACGTGCAAGCAGAGGCAACAACTCCCAACATTGTTGGGCCAACAAAGTAGGGAGTTGTTGCATCCGTTTGCACGCATAGCTTTACAATCAACCTATCGGTCAACAACTTTATTGACCTCTAAGTTTTATTTGTTTATCACACGTAAACCCCCAAAATTGAAACAACACATTAGAAATAAATTTAATGACAAAGTTTATCAAGAGTTTTAAATTAATTAAAGTATAACAACTTTTGATAACCTTTGTCATCAAAAAACAGGTGTAAGTGTCACTGTTTTTCTGAGTATTTTTAATGTTAAGTTATTGATATTTTGATTTTTCACCAGTGCAATTGAGTTTCAAAAGTGATCTGCAACTGGTTTTGTTTTACTTGGCTTCATAATCTCTGTAACTGGTCCAGACAACTCGCACCACCCGGTGCGGTTCCTAGGAATGTTCCTTTTCTATGCCTTGGTAGAGAAAGCCAAGCTTTTGGAAATAGTTTTTGATACAATTCTTTAAAAAATACACCACAATTTGACTGAACCACTTGTAAGCCTGTGCGTAAGGGATAAGCACCTGCCATTCCCTGTAGGAAACAGATTCAAAACTTAAGAACCAGCCACAACGTGATCATTAGGGTTTTGTTGCATCTCAAGGAGTTTGCTTGGTTTTGCTTTTAGGGGTTACTGACTCTTTGAGATACTTTCCTTTTCTCTGACCGACTTGATTTTTGTTTTATGACACCAGAAACTCTGATGACACTCAATCAAATGGCACTCAATTCAGCACAGCTGTACCAGTAATGCTAAGAAATATTCAGTAAAGCTTATTAATACCAAAAATGCTCCTTAATTATTGAGTATTCAAAATGTCTCCCTTTATTGTTAATTATTATGAATGAAAAAAAAACAATTAACCAATGATAAGAAGGTGATTAAATACACATCGAATAAATGATTAAAAGTTCAGCCAAGCCATAGATTCAAAAAAACCTACTTCTATCTGATTACATGTCTCAGTCTAGTCTTAAATGCTTTATTCTGAATAGCAAAAATCTATGAATTATGAGCTTCAACAACACAAAAAAAAGATTAAACAAGTCAGAAAGTCTACGGAAACAAAAATACTACCATGACTTATTACTAAGCACCTAAAATGTCTCCATCTAGACTAAAATACATTACTATGAACTTAAGGAAACTCCCTTTTTTTGTCAGTTTCCCCTTTCTTCTTCAGCTAACAATTCACTTTTAATGCTACACAAATTTATTACATCTTCAATGTGGTTGAGATAATTTGTTGTTCTAAGTTATAAGTGTTTTAAGGGAAAACACGAGCAAGAGTTTTTGAAAACTCTTGCTCGTGTTTGTCCTCAAAACGTTTAAAACCTTGTGATCACAAGGAGGGGGACATGGAGGCTTACGGTAAAGAAAGGAGAAGTGTGATGTCATGTTACCATGGTAGCGCTATTTCTGGATGACAACAAAACCAACAACGACGGTGACAGCAATGTCCCCCTCAATGTCCCCCTCCACGAGGCGCTCTAACAAAGTGTCAATACGTGTGGTTGAGGAGAACTTTACATTGTCCTTCCTGCTTATAACTTCCCGCCTACTAGTTGTCATTAACTACTGTAGTAGTAATCTCCACCACCCTCCTTCCCCCCACCTTCCCCACCACTGACAAGCCAAACATATGCTAGGCTTGGACCAGCAGTGGAAAGGGATGGGTGGGGTGCTTCTGCTATCACTGGCAAACATTCGCAGCAACTTACACTTCTATGTAATTCTGTTATGTGTTATGAATTCTAACCTCGACAGGATTCCTAAACAAACTAGATAAAAGCAATGAAAAGAATGTATGCTCAACATGATTCATTAGGTGTCATTAGAGGTTTTAAGAAAACTGAATTCAATTGCAAAGCTTAGCTAAGCTTAGAAACATCTTCCTAAACAACTCCAATTTTTTCCCAATACTATGGCTAACCAGTAATTTTGCTTCTCATACCACAAGACATTCCTCGAAAACTCGCAGATACACGCCTGTGTAATACGTTAATCTATGGGCTTGCGATTAAAATACAGGTACTGTATTACGAAACACTAAAGCAAATGTTTCGAATCATCAGAATTCAAATCATCTGTTTAGTCAAAACCTGATTAGTCAATGAAATGCTCTCAGAATTCTTTGCTGTTTAGCAAACTTTCATATAAAGTGTTTAAGTCGAAGGCGTAACGGTGGCAACAAAGCAGGCAGTAACACAGTCTGGATGCGAGTATTTGCAATCATATTTTTTTTTAGGAAAAAAATACCTGTTCCATGGTTCTGACAAGTTTTAGAAACACGAGTGGAAATTTTAAAGTTCAAGAAACGCAGCGAAAGCAGGAGCCTCGTATCCTCAAGTTTCTTCAGAGCTCTTTCTTGTCATCCCAAACTTTTACGAGACATTACTAGTTAAGCGTTTTTGTGGAGGTACAGAAGTACGGCTTTTGGCCCGCATATTGCCATTAACTGTTCTCTAATCATTACTTCACGCCGGATCAGCTGTCGCGATATTTAGGGTCACTTATTTGAAGCCAAGGAACTACTTTTACACCTTTTATCGGTTTGAGCCCAAAGTTTGTAGGATGGTAGAACTTTGTGTTCTAAACAATCGCACATTTTTTGTTTTTCGATTTTAACCGTTTTTGGCGGGAAAATGATGTCAAATGATTGACAACAAAATTGCAATTTCAACTAATGATATAACAAATTAAAGACAAATGGTTTTCAAGAGATGGGGTAAAATCACTTGATTAAGAAGATATGAAGATTTGATTTTGAATTTCCTGCCATTTTGCTACTATTTTTAAGGAAACACAGGTTCATTTCGAAATGCTATATCTCCTAAAGAAACTGAGCTTTTCAAAAATCTTTTTTTCATTTGCTTCTATCCCGTCGTGCTCTTTAAAAATAAGCTGTTTGTTTGTCACTTGTTGAAGTTTAAATTTTGCTTTCAACCATGTGACCGAATTTTGCCGCCAAAAACCGTTAAAATCGAAAGACAAAATACATACGAATGTTTGGAGTACAAAGTTCTACTATCTTGAAAACTTGAACTTGAATGAACTTGAACTGTAAAAGTAGTTCCTTGGCTTTAACTAAGTGATCCAAAAGTCGCGACAGCTGACCCGCAATGCTTTAGTTGATACCTATAGCTGCTGAGAATGGTGACGTTTCCTTTGGCAGTTAGTTGTTCATTCTATATCAGTACGGTTCGTCTAGCTCAAAGTCTCCACACTTAATTTTCTCAATCCCTGGGGGTGGTGTTAACTTTTGTTGCTCCTTTGAGGCTTCATTGACAATCAACGCCATTCCCTCGAGCAGGTGCCCCTCTATGTGGCAGTGAAGAAACCAATGGCCAGGATTATCGGATATGAAATTGATGACAACGTATCCCCCGGCAGGGACTGAAACTGTGTCCTTCCTTACCGTAGATGCATTTATAGAAAAGAGCGGTGGCGCGCTCGCCCACCTTGGTCTGGTACAACGCGTACTGTCGCAACCATCCTTTGTGCAATTGACATCATCACAGGAAATATCTTTGTTGTGTTCTTTGACAAAACCATTGTCCGGATTATACTCTGGATATCCAACATGAACAACATGAAATGAATGGCCATGAAGGTGAATTGGATGAGAATGGCTCATGCTGGGGTTGCCGCCAACATTTGAAAACACGAATTGAACAGTTTCGTTGTATGGAATGTCAATCTTGTAGACACACGAGCACTCAATTGTCGATGGATTGCAATCAGCACTGTTGTTACAAATTTTGGACTTGCTTAGAAAATCTTGATTTTGCGTTTGGGGTGGAAAGGAAGGAAGGATGAAATTGCGCCCATTCACTGAACTAGTAGTAGAGGAACCCTCAAAATTGAAATTCATGAAATGCGTACAATCTGGGCAATTCGCTGTAGGTTTTGGAAGTTCGTTGTCTGAAGTTGGCTCAAGTAAACTTAAGTTTTGAACGTTAATACAGTTAATGTTATAGGAGTGATGGAAGTTCTCAAATGGACAGTTCACCGCTTTGCATTGATTGTCTTTGGAGCACTGACGGGCTGCAGACTCATTTTTTATTCTTTCATATTCTGTGGACGGTATATCATCATCCGGATTTCCCCTCTCTGTTCCTTCTTTGTAGTGCAGAATAGCCTCTGCCAGATGGTTTAGTGTCGGGTAGGGTGGACCTTCCGCCTTTGCATCTATCTCCAGCGTCTCTGCACGTATCCAGTAGTCTTTTACTTCTTCTCCTGCTTTTAGTAGAAAGTCATACCTCTCTCCGGTTTGGATAATGATGTAGTCAACGTCATCTATGGGTTTAATCCAATAGCCGTCTGTGGCCACCACAGTCAGCTTATGACCATCAATGGAGAATTTGTAAGCGTACCCTTCTTGGGCTCCAATCAGCCTGAAGCGATATGTCTTTTTGGGCTCAACAGTAAACATGCTCAGTCTTGTTTTAGGGTATGGAACATCAGGATGTCTTCCTTTGCCATTTATGATTCCAGAAAAATATGGGATAGGGCCGGCCCCTCCGTTATCAAAACTAACAGTAGGAAAAAGTTTTGAATTCTCGTCAACTTTAGTTGGTACCTCGCCAATCGGCTTGTCTTTAAAAAAACCACCAGCTTTAAACTGTGTGAACAGATCCAAGGATGCCTCATTTTGCCATTCGATAAGCGTTAAGGTATGCTGATCTGGACGGTCCTCAAATTCACGGTTTAAAAGCCGAGTGAGCTTTGCCATTCTTTCTTTTTTTTCTTTAACTATAAGACCACCGAATAAGCCATCTGTTCTTTGAGTGCCACTGTGAGAGTGGTACCAAAACGTCCCAGAAGGACTAGCCTTAAACTTGTATGAAAATCTAGATGAGGGTCCTATATGACATTGAGTTACTTGTCCCACGCCATCCATCCAAGGTGCTCCTTTCTGGTGCATCCCATGCCAGTGAACGGAAATACCTTCAGTAGTAAGCTTGTTGTCAACATGAACAATAACAGTTTGCCCCTCGTGAACAATCAAGGTAGGTCCAGGAATTTGTCCGTTGACGGCTATTGCCATACGGTACGTTTTACCATCTACGAACTGAGGGCTAGTGCAATTCGCATTGTTAAATGTTGCACATTGTGCATTAGGGTCACCCAGAGGCTGAGGTCCTGGCAGAGGTATTCCACTTTCATTGATATAATAACCCACTCCTTCGAAGCCACGCGTAGCTATTCCTGGAGGTTCATTTACGAATAACTTCTCATAACTGGTGAAGGTTTGAATTTCGTCAATTTCAAGGTTGAATATACAAACCTCTGCCGTTTCGTTGCATTCACAACTTGATTTCCCATATTCACAATAGAGGGTTTCTATAACGCTGTTGTTGTTGTTGTTGTTATTGTTGTTGTTGTTGTTATTATTGTTGTTGTTGTTATTGTTGTTGTTGTTATTGTTATTGTTGTTATTGTTATTGTTGTTGTTGTTATTGTTATGAGGATGATGATAATGTCCAAACGAGGGCCTTCTTTGATTCCCACGATGGTGTCCAAACGGGGGCCGTCTTTGATTCCCATGATGGTATTCAAACGGGGACCCTCTTTGATTCCCAGGATGGTGTCCAGACGGGCGCCATCTTTGAATCCCATGATGGTGTCCAAACGGGGGCCCTCTTCGATTCCCAGAATGGTGTCCTGACGGCTCCCTGCGGATCATTTCCTCAACCTTTACATTGTTGATGAACGCTATAAAGAGAGAACATGGAAAAGGCATTTAGTTGCGTAGCTTAACACGTAAGAACTTGTGTTGTTGAAGTGCTGTCAAACGCCAAAACTGTACTTACCTTTCTTGGTACTTTATTTCACGGGTCTTTAATTTCGCGTTTTCCCGATTGCAAAAAAATCGCAAAAATAAGGACCCGCGAAAATAAATCCTCGTGAAATTTAAGCACGCGAAATTAAATACTCATGTAAAAAATTCAAATCACAGGAAAAAAAATATCAACTTGAAATAGCAACATCATATACGGGATATGTATCGACAATATACCTTGTTAACTGGTTAGACTGGTAAACTTCGTTTTGTATATTCAGAGTGAAACAAGGTTAATTTGTAAAGCTTTCACACATTGCTTTACAGGTTAACTAGAAATTTGAGAATGCTTAAATCGCGAAATGTCCTTTTCTCATATTTGCGCGTTGAAATCGCGAAATTAGGTAGCAAAAGCTCACTTACTAGTCGCACCGCGCCTTTATTTAGCCAACTTAAAGTCGGTGACATATATATAGCATCAATACTTTGATGATCTTTTATGTACCCGTATCACCATGATCATTTGCCAGTAGCTTCCTTAACCTCTTTTTAAGGGACCGTACGTTTATTACATCCCGGTCGGGGGTGGGGGGAAGGGTTCAGAAAAGCATTGTGTATCAAAACTGTACCCCCTTAAAATAATTACATATGACCATTGAACCCCTCCTTGGTAATGAAAATTTTTAAAATGCACCCCCCCCCCCTCTCCAAACTGTTCTAGACTAAGTCTCTTCTTCCATCCTTGGGCATTGATTTCATAAGCTATAAGATGCCGGTAGTTGTCAGCATAGCGTGTGATTTTGAAGGTGCACGCGGGGGAAGAAACCTGGGGGAGTCTGGGGGCATGCTCCCCCGGAGATTTTTCAAATTTAGGGTCTCGTAAGTGCCATCTCTTGCGTTTTCTTTACCATTTTCAGTAAATAAAGACGATCGGTAAGGTACAAACTGTTTACGGCAAACAAGGGTAAAACAGTGGCGCCATCAAGGACGTTATAATTACAAGCGGGCGAGATGTGTACCCTTCAGACGGGTAAAACTGTTATAATGCCATGTGCATGTGCAGAATTGCAAGAGAGCTCAGTCTCTCGTCTGTCACGGTCCTTCGTAAAGGAGTTTGCAGTCTCCACAAACCGCTGAAGCTACGCTTTGCTGTGCATGTTGACAGGATAAGTCAACAAAGTTATGAGAGCTACATTATACCCCGGGATAGAATTGCAGTTGGCATGGTCAAAAGTCTCAACCATTGCAGGGTCTGTGGCTTCACATTCGGATCCATTTCACTCCACTTAATCAGTAAAAGGATAAAGGAAATCCTAACACAAAAACACCAATATAATGCGAAATATTTATCCCAATATAATGATAAAAATGCTTTCGGGAAAAGAAAATCTATATATTTTTTTCCGGATTTCAGCTGTATGCATAGGCATATGTGCCTTCATGCACGCTACATTCCTGGTAGCAGAAATAGCTGATAGGTTTCTGGGCCAAGCTTTATACGGGTAACATTTTATTGTTGGCAAAGAACCATAATATAGTTTGACAACTGTTACATAGAAGGCCAGCCCTATGTCTTAATATTTCGACCCCTCTCACGTTTTGTGCATTTTCAAAATTGACCCCCCAAAATCAAGCCTCTTAGAAAATTGTACCTCCCTCCCAAACCCCCCCTCCCCTGGACGTAATAAACGTACGGTCCCTAAGTAGTAGCCAGGTCCATCATTATGAAACTCGACTAGCCTATAAGTATATACTGTAGACCTCATTTTTGTGGAATGAATATTCAGCGGTTCAGTATCCTTTATCGGGGACCAAAAATCTGGATTTCGTTGCCTATTTCATTAACCAACTCTTCTTCCACATTTGTTTTTTTTAAAAAAAATCTTGGAATTATATCATTGATGGTCATTCTGTCGCTTATTAAGTTTTATGTTTTCTTTATACTCTGTTCTCAAGCATGTAATTACTGAGTAATCTAGCTTAAGGAAGCCTATGAATATTTATAAAATAACTATACGATGGCCCAAGAGGGTCACAGTCCAGTATTGGTTTTTGACAGTCCAGTTGTGGTTTTACACAGTCTAATTTTATTTTTTACACAGTCCAGTTTTAATTTTTACAGAGTCCAGTAAGTGTTTTAATTTTTACACAGTCCATTTTTATTTTTTTTACACAGTCCAGTTTTAATTTTTACACAGTCCAGTTTTATTTTTTCACACAGTCCAGTTTTATTTTCTGTGTAGTTACCAGACCTCTCTCGCTCTACTGTAACGCGTGTTATTTTGTATTTCCTTGCAACGATGGATTCAATCATCAGGCAGGTTGTTCAAGAGGAACTGAGATGTTCAAATTCTAGTCGTCCAGAAACTGCGTCTTCTACTAATCAAGATGATCAGGGAAGAAGTGAAAACGAATCAGGTGTGGCTGGATCATCACGAAGTTCGTTTTCATCACGAACAGTGGGCCGTTTGGGGTGTTTCTAAAACGAAGACCTAAGACCCCCAGGGGAGGGAGGTACTCCCTTATAAGGGCTTAATGGGGACGAGCAGCCAGCCAGGGTACGTTTTTCGGGATTTTTGTCTTAAACAGGGTATGATTTTATATTATCATTTTTTGTCTTAATCAGGGTATCGATTTTATCAATTTTTCAAACAGCGTATCTTTTCTTGGACGATAAACACCCTGCGAGGGTCTTCATTTTAGTCCAGAGGGTCTTTGTTTTAGTCCAAGGGTATTCGTTTTAGTCCACGGGGTCTTAGGTCTTAGCCCGGGGGGGTACTCGATATATCCTTGGGTCGGAAGGTGCGGTCCGGCCCCTTATACCCCGACCCTGTTTAAGACAAAAATCGCTGATTTTCCTACCCTGTTTAAGACAGAATTCCGATTTTGATACCCTGTTTAAGACATTCGTAGAACATACGCGCAGGCTGTTTATCGTTCAAGAAAAGATACCCTGTTTGAAAAACTGATAAAATCGATACCCTGATTAAGACAAAAAATGATAAAATCGATACCCTGTTTATGACAAAAATCCCGAAAAACATACCCTGGCTGGCTGCACGTCCCCATTAAGCCCTTATAAGGGAGTACCCCCTCCCCCCGGGGGTCTTAGGTCTTCGTTTTTGGGTCTTCGTTTTAGAAACACCCCAAACGGCCCACTGTTCGTGATGAAAACGAACTTCGTGACGATCCAGCCACATCTGATTCGTTTTCACGTCTTCCCTGATCATCTTGATTAGTAGAAGACGCAGTTTCTGGAAGACTAGAATTTGAACTTCTCAGTTCCTCTCGAACAACCTGCCTGATGACTGAATCCATCGTCGCAAGGAAATATATACAAAATGGCTGCCGTGAGATAACACGTGTTACAGTAGAGCGAAAGAGGTCTGGTAACTACACAGGAAATAAAACTGGACTGTGTATTGACCGTGTAAAAATAAAACTGGACTGTGTAAAAAATAAAACTGGACTGTATAAATATTAAAACTGGACTTTGTAAAAAATAAAACTGGACTGTATAAATATTAAAACTGGACTGTGTAAAGGGAAAGGGAAAGTTATTTTATAAAAGCAATAGAAAACTTTTTTCCTGTGTTTGCATAGCCTGATATGAGCACTCGAGGTGTTGGGAGAATTCTCGACAGTTATGCAAACCCTCGACTTCGTCTCGGGTTTGCATAACTGTCTCGAATTCTCCCAACCCCTCTCGTGTTTATAACAGGCTGTGCAAACACGGAAAACGTTTTCTATTGCTTAAATATAGGGAGCTTAAGCAACAACAACGGCGACGGCTACGAAAACGTCACGAACAAAGTAAAGTCGCGCTGCGTTAAACTTCACAGCGCAAATTCCATCTCGATCAATTCGTCAAATGCTGGCAATTCTTTTCTTGAGTTAAATTCTGAAAGAGGGTAACGAAGTTCAGGAAAAGAAAAACAAAGTCGTTGTTTTGTGTTCACGTCCTCCACAATACGTGAAGTTAGGCATTTTCACGTCGTAGTCGTGCGGTGACGGCAAAGCCATGTACAAAAAGCATGATGCACGTGCAGAGCTGTTGTTTTGCCAATCTAAACCTATTCCTGTTTTGCCCTTCTCGCTGACATCCCTGTCGTCTTTGCTTAAGCTCCCTAATAGCCTCCCACGCAGACGTTCTTAGGGGTTCGTAACACGTTCCTGTGGCTAATGAATATGAGCTCTCAGTTAGGATTCGTTAGGCTTCCTTGTCACATTAACTTTTTTTAAACAATTTATTTGACAGCTATTGTTCAATTCGCTTAATGTTTGTACGTTTTATGAGTGACTAAATAAATAAATAAACAAAAAATAAACTTACCTGGACTGTCGTGTTCAGCGACTCGTGGTTCTTCCTTTTCCTTAAAGTGAACAGCTGAAAAAGACGTAATGATTTTATAAGCTCAGCTCCGCAAGTTAGGACATTTTTAAATTGTGTTTTGATAACTAGATCCATACACAGAGGGCCAAAACATCTAACAAGTGTCTTTTTGTGGCAACCATTTTGGAAACACTAGTGTGTGTGTGTGTGTGTAACTGAGAGTTCGGCAAACTGTTGGTAGAGACTGAAAATAACCGAAATTGCTATCGCTGCCAGACTCACGAAAAGAAAATCTATATATTTTTTTTCCGGATTTCAGCTGTGTGCATAGGCATATGTGCCTTCATGCACGCTACATTCCTGGTAGCAGAAATAGCTGATAGGTTTCTGGGCCAAGCTTTATACGGGTAACATTTTATTGTTGGCAAAGAACCATAATATAGTTTGACAACTGTTACATAGAAGGCCAGCCCTGTGTCTTAATATTTCGACCCCTCTCACGTTTTGTGCATTTTCAAAATTGACCCTCCAAAATCAAGCCTCTTAGAAAATTGTACTCCCCTCCCAAACCCCCCCTCCCCTGGGACGTAATAAACGTACGGTCCCTAAGTAGTAGCCAGGTCCATCATTATGAAACTCGACTAGCCTATAAGTATATACTGTAGACCTCATTTTTGTGGAATGAATATTCAGCGGTTCAGTATCCTTTATCGGGGACCAAAAATGTGGATTTCGTTGCCTATTTCATTAACCAACTCTTCTTCCACATTTGTTTTTTTAAAAAAAATCTTGGAATTATATCATTGATGGTCATTCTGTCGCTTATTAAGTTTTATGTTTTCTATATACTCTGTTCTCAAGCAGGTAATTACTGAGTAATCTACAATACTCGTCACAAATCGTTGAAACAGACACCGTTTCTCTCGAATTTTCTGGAAAAATCATGAGATTTCTACTTCACACTGTTTTCCCCCCTGAAATGTGCCTTCTCCCTCCTTAATGTTGAGCCACGCGCATTTTGAACCACTGAGACCACTGAGATACCCAAATCAACATAAGGGAAGGGCAAATAGACACAAGTGTTTCAAGATTTTTGACGAGTATTGTTGGGAGTATTGTAGCTTAAGGAAGCCTATGAATATATAGCCTCCCACGCAGACGTTCTTAGGGGTGCGTCACACGTTCCTGTGGCTAATGAATATGAGCTCTCAGTTAGGATTCGTTAGGCTTCCTTGTCACATTAACTTTTTTAACAATCTATTTGACAGCTATTGTTCAATTCGCTTAATGTTTGTATGTTTTGTGAGTGACTAAATAAATAACTAAACAAAAAATAAACTTACCTGGACTGTCGTGTTTAGCGACTTGTGGTTCCTCCTTTCGCTTAAAGTGAACAGCTGAAAAAGACGTAATGATTTTATAAGCCCAGCTCCGCAAGTTAGGACATTTTTAAATTGTGTTTTGATAACTAGATCCATACACAGAGGGCCAAAACATCTAACAAGTGTCTTTTTGTGGCAACCATTTTGGAAACACTAATGTGTGTGTGTGTAACTGAGAGTTCGGCAAACTGTTGGTAGAGACTGAAAATAACCGAAATTTCTATCACTGCCAGAGTAACGCAAAACTTGTTTTGAAATTAAAATAGCCGGACTGTTTTTAAAAAGGTCGCTTTAAAACTCACGGCTAGAAATAAGTTTATTTTTGACGGTCATATTCTTGTTGCACGTGAAAGATTCCTGTCGGCCTACTAGTTAACAAAATCTAATAATAATAAATCTAACAATGACTTAATAATAAATTGTTGTACCTGATACATAGCATTCCATAACACACAGAGTTACCAAAGCAAACGCCAAAACTGCAGTGCTCTTCATTTTTTCTCTTTGGCAGTCCTGTATACTTAAATAAAACAAGCAAAATTAATATGACCGGATGACCGAGCGTATCCACCAACCCCTTCCCCTTTACTGTGTGTAAGAAGAGTAAGAATGTCTTTCTTATCTCACAAGACCAAAAGACGACTTAATAACAAGGCAACGAAAATCGTTTAAAAGAATCCAGTATGAAGACAGACCAAATGAAAAGTCCCGAATTATGTAAACCATGAATGAGATTACAGCATCATTGAGCGTAAGGCGTGTCTTTGTGGGATGACGATCGAGTAACGAGTCTGAGTCGAGTTTGAGTCAAGTTTTGAGTTAAGGTTAAGTAAGGTTTGAGTTACCGTTTTGGGCGTTTTTTTTTAATTTTTAAACTCTGTGAATGCGAGTGATGGCAAAAATTATCGGCGTTAAACATATCAAGCGAGTAATTTCAATACAAATTAATTTTTCATTCCTGCAAATGGGAGAGAGCGCAGACAGCTGCACCCCTCCCACCACCATCTCCTCAGCTCCCCTTCCTTGGAATCCCGCCTTCTAGAACCCTGGAACACATTCTGAACGCCTAAAACAGGCTATTTATCATGAGAAAATTATTTTAAATTAAACGAAAAGAACGTCTAATTACCATCGCTTGAATCCTGTCATCATTTTCCTCGATTTCACTATAAAAGGATTGAAAGACTACCGCAGAAAGCATTCTGCATGCACTCTACATTTCCTATGGTCTCAACAGAAATTCTGAAGAAGGTTGGGGCATCTTAACAAAAGTGAATTCACGCTGTTTCAAAACTCATCGCTAATATTCCACGTCTTTCAATTTGCCAAATGTTGGTAAATTTTTCTGAAGATGAATTCTAAAAGGCCGATATCTAAGTTAACAAAAAAAAGAAGAAGAATCAAAAAATGGCTGTATGGTGTTCCCGTCCTCCGGAAAATATGAAATTAGGCAGTTTTACGTCGTGGTGCAACGAGGGCAAAGAAATGTACAAAAAAGGTGATGCGCTTGCAAAGTTGTTGTTTTGCTAATCTAAAAAAAAAAAAAGACCAGTTTTGACTTGGGCTCTGAAGTGCACTTGGTTCGTATGTTGTTTTGCCAATAATGCTGGGAATTGTTGCGTCCGTTTGAGCGTAGCTAAGAGTTTGACCGGTTTCAAACTTTGCGCAACAAAAAGCAACAACATGCAACAGGGTGTGCAAACGGACGCAACGTGTAACATCCAACAATGTTGCGTCCTTTTGCGTGGAGCTTTAGAGTATCTACACTTTTGTTTAAGTAAAGCCCTGTGCAAACGGACGCAACATTGTTGGATGTTACACGTTGCGTCCGTTTGCACAGCCTGTTGCATGCTGTTGCGTGTTGTTTTGCTGGGAGTTGTTGCATTCGTTTTCACACCACTGAAACACGCAATATTGTTGGCGCAACAATATTGGGGGTTGTTGCGTCCTTTTGCACCGTGAGGGGCCGTGCTGTTCTGTCGTGAATGACAATGCATATCTTCATCTCCTTCTAGCACACGTGGATCCGAGATCAACCCTTTGTAATTGGCTGTTTAACAGGCAATTCGAAAACGAGAATTCGCATTCTCTAAAACGGTTCGATAAATGCGTCCAGTCAGAAACCGTTGTACCGCTCTCGCCAAAAAACAAAAACAAAAAAAAAACTGAGTCGAGCACGTCAAAACTGTAGCAGGGAATCTCATAACCTGTCAAATTGTTAAACTAACGATTCAGATCCAACACTTTGCAGAAAATTATTGAACCAAACCCTAAAGGTAACGAAGGGCCGCTTATAAAGGTGAGAAAGGAAAATCCTTACACCTACAGCTAGCGATTAGAGGTCAATTTCTGATAAAGCAAAGATAATGGGCGTGATTCTTTCAGGAAAGCTCGTGAAGTCCACCTTATTCATAAAGCTAAGACAACTGAACCTCTGGGCATCAATAAACGTGATGAACTGTAACTATATATAGCATATCTTTTATTTTTTTGTTATCTTGTCTTTTAAAGTAGCCACACCATACCACGTCATATTATACAATTTCCGGTCATCATTTTACTTCATATTTCTGTAAATTCGTGATATCTCAATAAACCTGATGAAGACTGGTATTGGCAGTCGGAATATCGCAACTTAACTCTATTTCACCTTGTTTGATCAATCCCTACTCAAGTCTTCTTGACTGTAACGTTTTCAAAGATAAGAATCTACAGGAAATCACTGTACAGCACAAGACCACATGACGTCTCAGTGAAAGAAACATTTGCTAAATCCACACTACGAATCCTCCAAAACAGACTTTACCAGTTAAGGACAAAAAATGAAGGAACAAGTGACGTATTAGCAAGGCGTAAATGCCTTGTAGGTATACCAAATCCCCTTTTTTATAGTTTACGAAGGCTAAAACATGTTTTGTGGAAAGGGCGAGTCAGGCTTATGAGCTATTTCGCAGTATTTTCAATTTTACTACACAATCAGTGACTTAGACTCGGAACAACACTCTAAATTCACTTTGTTTTAATCTTTGATCAACAAAAAAGTGGACCTATGGAACCTGTGGGTGGGGTGCCGGGGTTGCGAGCACACCCGTCGCATCCGCCCCCCTTCCCTACGGGCCTGTAACACTATGCTAGCCCATGATGCCGTTGATCGGCGAAAGCTTGGACTTTGGATTTTACTTTTTGAGGCCTCACTAGAACAGTTACATATTTTTTTAATCATGCTGCTGAAGGACAACATGAGCAGACTATGCTAGCCGTTTACTTCTTTTTGTCAACTTTTTGAGGTGAAGTAATAAAGTTCACTAACTGGATGTATCTTTTTCTCTTTACAGCTAATATTTACGTCTCGCAAAATAGGCAAATGATGCAATTGACGGACGGACACTTTGTTTTACACAAAAAATCTAACACGTCTTTGCACTTAATGGTTCCAGTAGTTACAAAAGGTAACACATGGTTGCGTTTTTAATTCGTCGCGTTCTCAAGTTTCTATTTCTGTTTTTTTACTCAAGGAATTTGGTGAGCACTGAGCAACATATCACAGTTGCGCCTTATTCTTGGTTATATTATCTAGTCTTGTTTTTATTTAGTTCACGCGGGGACTGCGGAACACCAGAGTGTAGGTACTTTTTGTGCTGATAACTAATAACAAGAGAGAACGATCTAGCTCATTCTCTCTTGCTAATCATTCATACGATTCCTTGTAAGATGACGTCATTAGTGACATCATAAATGTGTGGAAGAAATACTTTATTGCGTACCCTTTCGTGTTAGAAGTGCCAGACAAACATTTCAATTTGGTCACACTGACGTCAATTGTGCTCTGTGCTGTTTACTGCGATTCTGTCCATAACGTATGTGAAGTTTTACTTTTAGCAGTTGTTTTTTGAAGGGGTATTCCAAGCAGACTTAGGGTAGAAAATTCTAGGTTGAGAAAAAAGTTGTGATCTAATTCTGAGGGAGGCAATCAACTGCACGCCAACTTGTGCTTACAAGTAATTTGCATCTAAACACGCACACAAAACAAAATTGTCATTTTTTTTGTGCACACCTAGTAAAATCAAATTCCGTAGCAAATAATTAACTTCCCGTGAAAATGTGGATTATTTTACAGCACTACAAGTAGCAGACAATAACAACGTCAACCTGGATGAATGAACAAAAATTAATAAAGGCTGAAAAAGTATTTGTAACGACAATTTAGAAACTTTGGAACTTTTCATACAAAAACCACTTCTCACGTTTTAGGCGCGCGCAGCCATGCCTGAAAATCTATTGAATCTTCTGTTCAAAGTCTATTTGACTTCAGTTACACTTGTACTTTGGTCTTTAGTGTGAACCGGCCTATTGCTTTTTTGCCTGTCATTTCTCGTTGCCGTCGTAGAAGTGGTTGCTTTATAACGACGGCAATAAGCTCTCTAATGTTTGGGTCTATAGCCACCACGACAAATAACCCTAGAATTTGAAGTTACCTGTACCTTTGAGTGGGAGAAAGCACTTTGCAATGAAAGAGTCCATGCAACAATTAATAGTGCAATTTATTGGAAACCGTAAGATCAGAACACGATGGAATGCTACAAACGTCAGTCGCAAGTGCATCACAGGAACCGCGCAAGGGGTGAGCCGCTTTTTCGGATGGTTTAATTTTATTTTTTCACTTTGCTTACCCATCAGATTTGTCACTTAACACACAAACAAGGTTTAGTAATCTGACAATACTGAACAGCCACAAACAGAATGGACAAACTTTGTCTTGTAGTTGTTGCCAATGAGTTTGCAGCTCTTAATGACAATCGCAAAGACAACTTTGGCACCTTAAAAGAATCTGACTTAAAAATGTCCTGGTGACACTCAACGGTTGCGTGCGTGCCGATGTAATGTTTACAAACTGATATTTCTATTGGCAGTTTCAGATTTGAAATTTTCCTGGGGGAGTATGCCCTCGGACCCCCCTAGTTTGCTCACGCTCACGCGTTCGCATTAGCCCGCCCACTTGAAAATCTGCTCCAGGGGCCTTGCATTAACAATATAGTGGAAAAAAGAACAATTGTTACATTTTTTCTTCTCTTTTGCCCTTGTTTATTGCACGATGACCCTTTAATTTTTTTCGTTGTCTATTATGAAGAGAAATCGGTTAAAACTAGACACGATATCGGGTATCTATCGACCTGAAAAAAACCAGTTTTACGTTTGAATAAGAAGACGATGAAAGAACCTTACTCTCACACAACATGTAAACAGTGCTCACCAATAACACGCGCTCATGAAGTGTTTCGATTTCCCTAGCATGGGGTTAGCTACCCGCCACAATCATAAAATTGCAGCAACAAAAATACAAACAAGGTAAAAACAGAAGCAAAAAACGGTGAAAGTTACACATTTCCTGTAGAATAAAAAGGGCATTTTTGGTAACTCAAATTTAACGCAATCTTAACTCCAACTCAACTCTAACTCAACTCAAGCTGGTAACTAGAGAAACAGCCGATCCCTCT